TTGATATACGATTATGTATGTTAATTTGATAAATGTTTAAAATGAAACATTTAAAAGTAAATGACGTAAAGTAAATTAATTAACTAATTATAGGGGTATGAAGTGTAAATTTAAAATTATAATTTAAAAAAAATCCGGGTGAGTGTATGTGAGGAGAGGAGGGGGTGAAAAAGTGAAAAATTAGTATAAAATGCATCTTGGTCATTTAGTATTTTAAAACTTTAAGACTTTTGTTAATAATTAACTTTTTCCCCAAGGAAATTGAAAACAAGATGCCCTCGTACAAGATCCACATTTTGTCTTTCTAACACCCACCCCCTTTTATGGGTGCATGTGAGGGGGTGAGATTGTGTAGGGAGGGTGAGTATGTGAGGGTGAGAGTGAAGGAAAGTTGTGAGGATGAGAGTGAGGGTTGGTGTGAGGAGGAAGGGGTGAAAAGTGATGTAGGGGGGGTGGGGATATCAACCCCCTTTGTCGTATCGTCATGAAATTATCAACGTTAGCGGTACATACAAAAATCCAAATGCCAATAGGACATTTATTTATTTAGGTTCTAAAAAAACATACACCTCCATGAAAGTCATCATTCAATTTTATAATTGATACGAATAATAAAGATCAACCAAGGGATCATTGATGGGGTTCAAATGATTCTTTTGTCTCATGTAAATTACCTACTACAAGAATTCAATTTTCACTCTCCTTCTTCTTAGTTTAACATATAAATAAAATTTAAAAAGGCCCATAATGTCAATGTTTACATAAGGTTATATTAATTATATTTTATTAATTCATAAATGTTCTAGACCTTTCATTTTCTATTCCGTTTTTTTATCTCATCTGTATATTATATCTCATTTAACGTTTTTAAAAGCAAATAAATACACATACAAATACCATATTAATATCACATTTTATTTGTTTTCAAATAAATAAATACATAAACATCATTTTAAATGTTTGTTTAAATAATATAAATTATAAAATGTAACAATTCTTACATGAATTTAGGGGTAGAATAATATAACTTATTTAATATTATAAAAACATTGGCAAATGATAGAGGAGTACATGAAAATATTTAGATGTTTCATATCTAAAAATGAAGAGGAAAAGATTGGAGATTAAGCCTTTTAAAATTACCAAAACAGTCTTATTTTAATGAATTTCATGTTTTAAAAATAGGGATATCAAATATTTAAAAAAAATCAAAAATATAGGAAAAAAGAAAGATAAGTTTATAATATCTAGAGAAAGACACGTATTGTATTTGGTTTCTCCTATAT